GCTCCCGGCTGTCCCGGGCCCTCGCTCGCCCTTCCGCCGGGCCCGCCCGTGTCGCTTCCGCCGCCGTTGGCTAGGGGCAGCGCCCCGCCGAGCGTCCTCCGGCAGCCGCAGCGGGCCTCTTGCTCGATTTTCACGTTGTCCGCGCCGTAGGTAGGGCTCGGGCAGCAGATGGGGTGCGGCGAGGTGGCGGAGGGAGAGGAGCTGAGCGTCTGCGGTGCTGGGGACGCCGCAGGAGCCCGGAGCGGGTCGGTGTAGCGAGCTTGGCCGCTTAGTGACCGCGCAGGGGATCCCTTTGCGAGTTAGTTGTTCTGCCCTTCACCAGCCAGCGAGTGTTCTGTCAGGGCGCGGGGGTGCGGAGGGTTGGGGCAGGGTGAGAGATAGTTCAGCATCCGGCTCAGCCGCTCCATCAGTGACAGCACTTTACCCTGCCCGCTCCAGCAGCGGGTCAGGCCTCTCCTGAGTAGAGCGAGACGCTCCAGCCCGAGTCTTTGCTTCTCAGCTTGTAGGAGGCCTTAGGAGGTACCTTCTAGCAGGGCGCCCTTCTGGGCTCAGGAAATCTTGGGGAGAGAGCGTTATTTTATTTGCTTTGTGAGTAGTTTTTAATTAAGCCTTGCATCTTCCTTCCAAAATAGAGTTTGCTTCAGAACGTTTGAGTCTTTGTCTCCCAGTGGGACTTCCAGCCCACTTGTGGTGCTTTTCCTTTTCTGGGAGTTAAGAGCAGTGCAGAGTGCTGCCTGTCAGCGTAGCAGGACACAGGTCATTCTGCTCCACCAGCTGGAGTTACTCATTGTTCCTGTAATGCTGATTTTGACAAGAGTCCATCTCAGGTTTTTATATGGTAGGCAAACACAGCCTAAAATATGCAACCCTGACACTTAGTGTTTATGATACAAGAAAAGAGATAAGGTAGATAAAAACAGAGAAAGTAATGGTCTCCATATACGACCACTTCAGTGGTTTTATGCACATTTTTTCTGAGAGGTCATCTGGGCAATCAAGAGTCCGTTGCACCCTCCCTCACTCTCCTTCATGCGGAGACTAACAAACTAGGAAACAAACTTTTATATGCTTTACTTGCTTTTACTTCAGATTTTGGGAGATTTCATGTCAGGGTTGAGATATGTGCATATTTGGTACGTACGAGTCCGTGAAAGAATAAACAGGCTGTGGGTGAATACAAGATACATCAATTTTTAGAATGAAGAAAGGCAGATCTACCTTATTCCTCACAAAAAACACCAACCCAACCTCCCTCCCTTCTTTGATTTTTTTAACAGATAGAAAAATCAATAAAAACATGGACTTAATTGCGGGGGGGGGGGGGGGGGGCAAGGTGGTTGGCGTTTTTGTCCTTTCTAAGGTCCCCTCATGCAATTTACCCCAAATCAGGTGTTGCTTATGCTAACATCTGCACATGTTCTGCATTTTGTAAGAAGATATTCAGCTTGATTTTTGTGATAGCATGCCAGTATTACTTGTGGGACTGCATAGTAAATTTGTTTTAAATGGGAACACGCACAGGCATTGCATTAATGCAGTTGTACTGAGGTGATTGTAGTGGTGTGTTCCTTGTGTGGTTCAAACCAGTGCAGGGTATACTGGGAGGATAAAATTCTGTTGTTCCTGAAAAAGAAAATCTGCCTAAACAGTTGGACTTGGATAACTACAGTAGAATAGTTCAACTGATGGTAAATTTTTGCAGTGCAGATAATTTTTTCCCCAGTATTTGTTAGAAACTATGGCATTGCCATTCTGCATTCTGTTCTTTACATTTTTTTAATACTTTAAAAAAGTGTAACAGTTGTTGTGTCCTGTCCTGTGCCCCCCCCCCCTTACTTTTAAGCATTAAAGCATCTTTGAAAGGTCCTAAAGGTCCTGGTGAGTTTTTTGGGTACTTTGTGAGTTTTGGAGGTTTTCGAGCTCAGTGTCAATGCCTGCTCTAGCTCAAGGAAGAGAAATGGAATATCATTTGGAATTGAGCATGTATGCCTGAGATACTTTCTAGAATCAGACTTACTGACCCCTTTCACTTTCTTGTTTGATGATTTACCAGACAAAATAAAGCACTCTCTGTGAATGTTGAGCCTTAGCACTGCTTGTTTTAGACAAAACATCATGTAGAGTAGTGATGTTGCTAGAGAAAAATCTTAAACATGCCTAAATACTGAGGAGTGTTTTTTCATTTTTAAAATTTAATGCGTATTTAAGCAAGTCCTTAATAGATTGATTCACATAGTTGTTTCCTGCTTAAATGAAATAAGCTACTTCTGACCTCATTTTGCTCTTCTAGGGTGCAGTAGAGCCGATGCAGATTGACGTAGATCCACAAGAAGACCAGCAAAATGCACCTGATATCAACTACGTGGTGGAGAACCCCACTCTGGTACGTGCTGGTTGAGGGCCAGTGGGTTACAGTGCTTGGGCATGGCCTCTGCCTTTAAGGTTTTTGAAGAACTCTCTCATTTTACTCCTTGTCAAATTGTTATTTAGAGATTAAGGGATTTTGTTCAAAGCAAGGTGGGGTGAGAATAGCAATGACCTCTTCTGTAGCTCCGTGTCACATACCGACCTCTGCTCCACCTTCACAGACCAAGGAGGAATTCCTGTTTGTGACTTGCTGCCTGTTTGACAGTTTCCCTTCTGAAATAGTTTCGTCCATCTCTGATTATTTACGGAGACATCAGTCCTTTATTTTGAGGCTTGTTTGTTGAGGAGCGAGGCTCAGGTGCTTTACGTATGTAATTAGGATAGAATTCTTCCATTGTTTGATCCTCTAGAGACTGGCTAAAACACAGAGCTCTGGAGTTATACAGGCTGTATTTGCTTATTTTTAGTTTCTTCAATTTTTAGTTAACAGTTTAAGATTTTGGCCAACTTTTTATGTATCAGCTCAGTAACAGTGAGAGATGGGTGTTGCAGAAGAGAACAAAAATGTTAATTAGAAAAAGTTAAAGCAACATTTAAATTGCAAAGTAAAGCATTCAGTTAGGAAGCTTTAATTTGTTCCTCTTGTCCCCGTATCTTATAGCTGTTGTCAGATGGTTATTCACTGTTTATTGCATAGCTCTCTTTTTTTGTTTGTTTGGTTGTCTTGGGGGTTTTTGTTGCTTTTGTTTTTTCAGCATATGAGCTGATACCTTGTTTGATTTCAGTTCAGTTCTGTTCTGAAGCTAGAGTGAAGAAGCAATCATGTTGTGACCTTTATGTCTTTTGTTATTGTATAACTGCATCTAAGTGTTCCACAGAAATTGGCAATTTTCTTTTCACCGTAACTGATGTGAAGGACCATCATTCCCCTTTGACATGCAAAATGCTGAAGAGTAAAGTGAGATTACTTGGTGATTTCAGGAGTTTCCAGGATTTTAGCAAGGATATCCTTGCACTGAATCAGGCAAGAATCATGTTAGAAGATGCTACCGTGGCATCTATAGTGGTGTCTTAATGTAGACACAGAGGTGAGTGAGTGGGACAGGACGCATTTTGAATGTGGACAGGCAACCTGAGTCTGGTGTTTCCTGCTGCCTGAATGCTTGACTTTGCCCTGAACATTCTGCTGTGCTTGTCTGCATGTCTACTTATGCCTTCAGGAAATCTCCCTGCAATGCCATATCATACCTTTACTAGACATTTTGTGTTCCTCTTCTCCCCCACTCCACTCCAAGCCTTAAGATCTGTTAAGTGTTTGGAATTTAAACTTCAGATCGTTCCTCAAGAGTAAGAGACCCTATTTGTTCTCAGAGGAGATGTTTGAAGAAATCAGTATGAGCAAAAGAATGCAAACTGTCATATGGAAACTATTTTTCAAGGAAAAACTATATCTGGAATGGTTGTCTGGTTTAGAAAACTTCAGCTGAAATGATGGAATCTTGACAAAATTATTAGCAGGTGATACAACCAGCGATTGAAGTGGGTGAGCTGATTCGCCTTAACAGATAGCATCTCAGTTGACGTAAAAAAGGCGAACTGTAACGTACTGCATATTGCTGAGGAAATTAATAACTTTTGAAGAAAGCAGAAATGGAATAATCTTACCTGATTTTTTTCTTTGTCTGAGTCACGTTGCCCTCCATGAAGGGCTCAGGACTGCGGGAGAGCCTGTGCCAGTCCCAGTGTACAGGCCTGATCCAGTGCTGCCCTCTTCGCCTTCCAAGCCCGGGCTTTTGTTTGCAGGATTTGGAGCAGTACGCGTCCAGCTACAGTGGTCTGATGCGAATTGAGCGCCTGCAGTTCATTGCTGATCACTGCCCACAGCTGCGGGTGGAAGCTCTCAAGATGGCACTGTCATTTGTCCAGAGAACTTTCAATGTTGACGTGTATGAAGAAATCCACAGAAAGTTGTCTGAGGCTACCAGGTACTACGAGGTGATGGGAACCTGGGGGGCTCTTTTGACTAAGACCGATGCACCGCAGTGGGGACTTTGCGTGTTCCTTATGCAGATTGTCTTTGCCCTTAGAATGTGTCTGTCTAGGCCTAAGGTCTCATGTTTTTTTAAAAGTTTAGACACAGAAGACATTATCTCAGTCTGAAGTCTTGGTGTTTTGAAAGGCTACAGGTGGATATTGAGGAGAGTTTAGTCCTTCCAGCTGCTTCAAATATTAATGAACACAGTTATCTTTCCTTAGGTAGATTGTGGAGGTGAAGCCTCTTCTAGATGCTCATGTGTTCATAAATTAAAACCTTATCTAACTGTTTGCCTTGGTTTGGATGTTGGTTTTTTTTTCCCTGCCTAACAGGTTTGCTGCTAAGAGTACCCTGTGACACTTCACTTACCCATCCAGGCTTCCTCTCTGTGTGTTATTTTTGTTGCTCTGTGCACGGGTTGATTTCCTGTCTGGTTTGCCCTGGCAGTCTTTGCCCTGTATGTGTGACCGTAGGTTCATTGCTTCCTCCTGTGTGAAAAGGACTGTTGGCAAAAAAACCTGCAAACAAAAACCCATAAAAACTTGGAGTGTTTAAAATACTGGAAAGTGAGTTCAGGACAAGTAGATTTGTTGATCTGAGCTGGATGTAAAAATAAGTTGGATAGTACCTGTACGGTGTAGCTTTGCTCCCAGGCCATTGCAGTACAGCTGGGGAGAGAACTCGTAAACATGTGCACCCTGTGTCCCACGCAGGTGTGTTTGACTGAATTCAGTGACTCTGAGTACTTCTGTAGAGTGTAATAATTCATTGCAGTACTGCTACTAACTTGCTTTCAATTAGCAGACCTCTGTTTTGAAAAGTTTGCAGCATAACAGCCTCATCCAAGCTCTTTCCTTTCAGAGAACTGCAGAATACACCTGATGCTGTCCCTGATAGTGGAATTGAACCCCCTCCTCTTGACACAGCTTGGGTTGAAGCTACACGCAAAAAAGCTCTTCTTAAACTGGAGAAACTCGACACAGATCTGAAAAATTACAAAGGGAACTCCATCAAGGAGAGTATCAGGTGAGATGCAGAAGGCTCTGCTGGAGCAAGGAAGAGCATTTTGCTCCTCCAGGCACCTAACACAGGATGTCACCTGCATTCAGTGCCTTAGGTCAGTGTGTTGAGTTACTTGTTTGGAACAAGCTGACCGTGTTTCTTTTCGAGCACACAGTTCATTGGTATTTTAATTCCTGTGCTCCAGGAGAGGCCATGATGACTTAGGTGATCATTACCTTGACTGTGGGGACCTCAGCAACGCTCTCAAGTGTTATTCGCGAGCCCGTGATTACTGCACCAGTGCTAAGCATGTTATCAACATGTGTCTCAATGTCATCAAGGTAGGAAGGAGGGTTTGCAGGAAATGGTACCCGGTGTTTCTGATAGCTGCTGTAATGGCCACCTGTACTTTTCTCTGGTTACACCTCTGGTGTCTGCAGTGATGCTGCTCATCTAGATAACACCATTTATCCGTGCCTGTCTCTGGCTCTCTACAGGTCAGTGTCTACCTCCAGAATTGGTCTCATGTTCTGAGCTATGTAAGCAAGGCTGAGTCTACACCAGAAATTGCAGAAGTAAGGTCCTGCTTTTTAACTTGCATGGGTTTTCCCTTTGTTTTCTGTCTCCAAAATTTGTAAAACTATTTCTTCCTTTTGCCCTTTACGGCTTGCTCCCTATAAGACTCCCTTCTGCCCCAAATCCAGCCTCCTTGGCTGCTGTGCTGTTCCTTTTGAGATTCATTGTTGTTTTTCTCCCATGATACATGTGTAGAAAAGTCGAACTCCTGGTAAAAACAGAGAGACTTCCCATCCTCAATTCTTGCCATATTTCCCAAGAGAAATAAGATGAAGTTATCTTGCTGTTGATATTCGCGAGCTAACTATTAGGGTGAAATGTCCCAAGGACAGCTGTCATCATAATGGTTTTGTACTGCTTGCTCACTACTGCTTTTTTTTATCCTTTAGCAAAGAGGAGAAAGAGACAGCCAGACACAAGCAATTCTCACCAAACTGAAATGTGCAGCAGGTGAGTGAATCCTTCAGCTTCCTGCACTGTCTGCCCATCTTTCTGCCTGTTAGCTGTCCCTAGGGCTCCTTGGCAACAGTGTGTGCTTGGCTTATTTTTTTTCTCTCAGATTTGTCAGACTTTGTATTTTCTCACCAGAAATGCAAAATTTGATAAAGCTGATGAGATGGAACTGCTGATTTGTTTTTGCCATTTCTTTCTCCCAAGTTTCTTCAGAGAGGGTGCCAGTGTGAGGCAATGCTACTGCCCAGGACTCTTGTTTCACTTTGATAGTGAAGGCACTAGCAACCATGTGGGGGCCTGTCTGCTCCTCAGATTTTGCGATTTCTCCTAATTTATATGCTATCATAAACAAAGGACTAACTTTCTCTGGTTCCTAGGCTTGGCTGAACTAGCTGCTCGGAAGTACAAACAGGCCGCAAAGTGCTTCTTGTTGGCATCATTTGATCACTGTGATTTCCCTGAGGTGAGGATCAGGAGGGAGCTGCATGCAGGTCTTGGAGGGGATATAATTCTTCTAAGTGTTAGGTTGTAAAATTCAGATATTGTAGGTATTCTCACATCACTTCTATATAGTTTGGTGGTGCTGTGAACCACGTGTGTGTGGTTTTTTAGAAAAAGTCTGTTCTTGAGTCCCCTCAATGATCTACTCTAGGTCACGTAGGAATTGCCTGTGAGATTTGTGTACCTGCATAGCTCAGTCAAAAGACTGGCTGTTGGGAGTGGTTTCTGCTCTCTTAGCAGTGGACAGTCACTCCCTGGGCTCTGGGTGAACGCCTGAGAGCATGCTGAGTGGTTCTGGGGTAATTCCAACCTTCTGCCACTTTAGTAGTCAGTGAAGCTTTCTCTCTCTCTAGTTGTTGTCTCCTAGCAACGTGGCTGTCTATGGTGGTCTCTGTGCCCTTGCTACCTTTGACCGCCAGGAACTGCAGCGAAATGTGATCTCCAGCAGGTGAGTGATGCTGTGAGGAGTCTGTGTGTGCTGGACCTCTGCTGGGACACGGGGCTTCGGCTGAGAGTGAATTCTGGCAGGAGGAATAGCTTGCTCATACAGAAGAGAAAGAATCGCTGAGCCGTAGTTTGGCTTTGGCATTGATGTTTCACTGCCTACAATGCAGTGGTTAATCACAGCTGAAATTTTAGTGGTATAACAGAAGTTTCCAACCCAGGTCTGATCCAACATGTACATAGCCCAATCTTCTATCTCCATCAGCAGTCCATATCAGATATTAAATCAGAGGGATAGAGCCCCACGGAAGGCAGCTGTGGGATCATTTGCCTTCACATTACTACTTGTTCTGGTGAATGTTAATTGTATTAATACAATTTAGTTGTTTATACATCTTGCAGAGTACTTTCTGACACATACAACGTCAAGACAATTACAGCCTTTGGGAGAAAACGGGTGTTTGTTTGTCATAGATTGAACTATGGTGATACTGAATTCCTGGCAGCTAAGTGTATGGAAGCACTAATTTGAAGTTGATGTGGAAAAAGGGTTGTTACCCTGACTTTTTTATTGGCTGATTCATGCGGTGAGATCCCAAGGTTCGGGAATCTGTGATGGAGAATTGGGAGACTGCTGAGAAAGCGTGTGCATCCCAAAGATCCCACACGCTGACCGCAGGCTGTTTTCCTGAGACAGCTGTGTGCTCAACTGACCTATGGCATGCTGGACTTAGTGCAGGCTGTGCTGTGAAAGGGAATACAGAGCTGGCTAGCACAGGCTATAGTGCATGCACAGATGTGGCCTATGCTTTCTGCAGGTATATCCTGATTTTGACCTATTCCCACTCATTTTTTTGTTTTGTGTGGACTACTTGGTATGTCAAAAGTCTCTTGCTTTCTTTCATCACAGCTCTCATGCTGTGCTGCATCTCTCTTGTGTTCCAGGCTCCCAGCTCTGCTGAAAATGGTCCTTTAGACCATTTTCTAACAGACCCAATCTGGTCTGTTAGAAAGTAAATTCTTGGAATCTTCAGACGATAGTGGGAGTTTGTAACCTTGCAGCTTGGAGTGATGGGGTTGGGGAATCAAACTGGCGGGTTCCAGTGTCTGATCATGGCCATCTTTATCTGTAGCTCCTTCAAATTGTTTCTGGAGCTGGAGCCACAGGTTCGTGACATCATTTTCAAGTTTTATGAATCTAAATATGCTTCATGCCTGAAGATGCTGGATGAAATGAAGGTGAGTTGCAGGGAAGCAGTGCAGAACAGACCCTAGAAGTTCCCTTTCCCTTCGTCTAGCCTTTTGTGAGAAGCAGTAACTGTTAAAAGTAGCTACTAAGAGTGTTCAGCTCCTCTGTGTCTTCTGTCTCCTGATGTAGTGAATGGAAACTGGGAGTAGTTTATCAGCAGAAGGTGAAAAGAAACTTTTAAAAATGTATTGCTAGTTCTTATATGCATTCTAGTTTAATGGCATTGTATTGCTGTAGTGTAATATCCTCAATGTTTAAGTATATATACGTATATGTTTCAGAACATAGGAATATTTTTCCAGGCTACTTCTCAGTTTCTGATGTGTTGTTTTTGCACAGGACAACCTGCTGCTGGATATGTACCTTGCACCTCACGTCAGGACACTCTATACTCAGATTCGAAATCGTGCCCTTATCCAGGTAATTGTTCCTGTAATCCGAGAGGTGGATGAGCAGTCAGATAGGCCATCTCTTTGTAATTGCTTTTCCCGTGGTTTTTCAGAGGGTGGGGGAGTACACTTGGCAACTGAATGTTTTCTTCTTCCCAGTACTTCAGCCCCTATGTGTCGGCAGATATGCGCAAGATGGCTACTGCTTTTAATACCACGGTGGCTGCTCTGGAGGATGAACTTACTCAGCTGATCCTGGAGGGGCTAATCAACGCCAGAATAGACTCTCACAGTAAGGTGAGTGCATCTGAACCACAGACTGTAGCCTGAACAGCTGTACTAAGAGTAGAAACTCTGTGTTTGTGGGACACTGCAGCTGTGTTCACCTGTTGCAACAGGAGTTTTTGCTGGGGCTGGATCTGTGTTTAAGCTTGGACGCTGTGATCCCTTAGCTTTGCTCCCTCGCCCAGAAAGGGCTTTCTGCTGGGGAACCCTGTCACAGCTCCGGTGTGCAGTTTTCTCTATTGCTTACAGATTCTTTATGCTCGAGATGTAGATCAGCGCAGCACAACTTTTGAGAAGTCTTTACTAATGGGCAAAGAGTTTCAGCGCCGTGCCAAAGCGATGATCCTGCGAGCTGCAGTCCTGCGCAACCAGATACATGTCAAGGTGAGGGCCTGTGAAATGTGGACTTTTAGTGTTAAAATTTGAATTTTATTTTTAACTGAAACTATAAAAGTTGATGAATTGAAGATTCCGGAGGGGAACGAATTTATTGTGCTCATGACTGGACAAATTCTTACAATACTAAATACGTAAGGAGCAAGCGTTTCTAGCCAACACATTGACCTGCTTGTACAACACAAAGGACATTTCCTTTGAAGTTTATGTGCTTGGGTGGATTCTAACTCATTCATTCCAACTAATTCTTTGTGCACCTATCTTTTATCAAAACAAAGTTTGTTTGAAGTAATTTTTTTAGTAGAGGAAGTAAAAAATGCATGACTTGCTTTGAGTATTCCTTCTAAGGATGCAGTTCCAAAAGGATGCCCTTAGGGAGGATAGGCCATCTGCCACAGAACATGTGAAATTCTCTAGTGTTTTAATCTCTGTGATAACTAAATGCCAGATAGGATTCAGCTTCTGGGGCCAACAGCACCTTGTACGTAGTAAATAAGAGCGGCTTAAAAGTTCTGGCTTGTCTTTTTTAGGAACAGTTCCTGTGAACTGCAACTATAGAAGTTGTAAACACAAAGCTTTTGCAAAGCCATTGTTATTTATGAGTTGGGGGTGTGCTCTCCTGCTGCTCCTACCCTGCTGTACTTCACCGGTGCTTCATTTGGTCTCTCAGGAAGCGCTCTGCTTTACACATTACACATTATTTACACATCACTAACTAGGATGTGTTCTGGTCTTGTTGCAGTCTCCTCCGAGAGAAGGTAGCCAAGGGGAGCTTACTCCAGCTAACAGCCAGTCCAGGATGAGCACCAACATGTGAAAAACTTCGTCCACTACCAAAAGAAATGGTCCCTCCAGGACTGTACCCGGTGTCTCACCCACTAACTGCTGAGCTTCACAAGCTATCCCTGTCTCCCTCACTTCTTGCTTGGATTGAGAGGGTCAGGGCTGATGGTGGATGAATATTCCAATGACTTCAATTCTCTTTGAAAAGAAATTCTTTCTAAAAACAGCATCCCTGCAATGGGTCATTATTTCAGTTTTGGTAGAACATCTTCCTCCACTCTCCTGCTTCCACCACTCCATAAAGAGCTTTCAGGTTATTCACACAGATGCCGATTTGAGAGTTTTTCAGCTGCTATTAGTTTTCTTGTTTCAAAGCTGCAAAAATAGTTAGTGTTAAGTTGAATGGGCAGGTATGATCTAAGATGAATTTTGCTGGCCTGAAAGTATTGCCTTGCTTCTGAGCAATGTTAAGCTTTCTGTTGCAGATCTCACAGTTGCATTGCTCTTAATTATGGAGCTAGAATTCTGGTGGGAGAGAAGATGTCCTTTGAGAAGCTCTTAATGATTTTTCACCTACACCAGAAAACATGGCACTGCTTCCATGCATTCAGTCACAGGCCTTTATTTTAGGGTGTTATGTTTACCTGGATCCAGGTTCTTTCTCTCTGGCCTCTGTTTTCAAAGACCTCTTTCCCAATGTGTTTTGCAGTTGTGCATGACCTGGCTTTGGGGTCCATTGTTACCATAGCAGTGAATCTCTACTTCATCCAAATATTGCTGCTTGTCCAGTCTTAACTGCCACAGTGTGTGATGCTTCCCAACGTGCAACAGTTGCATCTGGCAGCATGGGTAAATGCCATAAAATACCACTCAAGTCCTGTGGAAGAGCTGAAAGCAGCCAACCTAGGTGCCCGCCCTCCATGTGCATTTATTCTGCTTTTCCTTTTATAAAGGGAAGAAAGGTGGCAGCCCAGGTCTGTGCGTGTTCTGTGATAATGAAAGGAGATGTGCACTGAATTTTCTGAAGTCACTGCTGCCTTGTGTTCATCTAATTCATGAGGCAAGCTCAGAATTTTGATCCAGCCCTGACTGGTCTGGCAACTGACTGCAGATGTTACTGTTAATGTGTTCATGCTTTTTTTTTTTTTTTTTTTTAATGTTATATCTAGTGCATTAAACAGCAGGATTAAAAAGCTTCTGAGTATTTGGAGTTTTGTGTTAAAGATGGGTTTGAGGAATCTTGATCTCAAGCTGTTGATTTTTTGCTAAGCTTGATGGTGTTTTGTAGGCCGTTGTATTTTGCTTTCTGATCTGGTTGGAGATGTAGCTTGGATGAACTGTGAAGAAAGTGCAATTTGAGGGAATGCTCGAACCGCAAGATTCCTGGACTGTGTTTGCACGGCTACTGAATTGCAACAGTGCTCTCTCCCCCTGGCTTTCTGTGCTTTTTATGACTTAGGTGCTGAAAATGGGAGCAATAGTTCCTGTGAGGTCTTTTGTTAAATGTGTTCCATTTGGCATGGAAAAGTTATCTCATTTTTGAGGGGGAGAAAGAGAGAGCTAGTTAATGACAAACTTGTGAGTCAAGCATCACCAATGGCCAGTTTAGTGAGACAGGCTAGTTGAGTGCTCAGGCTAGTTGATGTGCCTGCACATCCTTGTAGAAATGCTGGGAATGTCATTTTCATGCCTTCTGCTCATGCTGAAGGAAAGCCATTCGGTCCTATAATACTACTTAAACATTCTTGCTTCCTTCCTAAAATGGGCCACTGATACAATTTCGAAGGAAAAGATCTTGAGAAGGTGATTTTGCAACCCAGTAAAGTGCATCAGACCAGCTTACGCACAGCTTCCACTGTCTTGGCCTGATCAGGTTACTGCTGTTCCCTCCTGGAGCCTTCTGCTGGGGGAGCCCCTTGTAGGCTGGGTGAGAGCCTCTGCCCCTCCAGACACCCCACGTGCCCGCTCGGGCGTGTGAACCGCGTGGCCTTTGGCACTCAACGTGGAGCCCACGAGGTGGCAACAGCAGTTCCGAGCTCTTGCTGTGGCCCAAGGCGGTTCCGTCGCTGGGGCAGAGGGATCATTTCCTTCTCTCCGGACAAATAGGCTTACAGCCTCTTCTGGACAAAGAGCATTTCTCTTGTTTTAGTTCATTGGCAGTTCAAGCACAGTGTATGCTTTTGTATACAATTACTGACATCCAACCCTTTCCTTTAGCCTGTGAAAGAAGCCACCGTTGCTTTAGGATCTTGCAGATGTGACTCAGGGCTGTCCAGGGATATTTCTGCTAGACATTGTTCAACTTCTGCTTCAGTCCTAACTCCTGCTGGTCCAAAAATCAGGAAATACAACACAGCATGGATGTATAACTTGTAAGCAGCTTCCCCCAATGAAAGATTATCCTTACCTTAAATTTCTAAGTAATTTCCCAAGTAATAAATGGGAAAATAGTGACTCACATAGAATGAATTTCCACTGATTCTCTGTGACCACGAAGGTAATTCAGTGGATGAAGTTTTATAGGATCTGTAGCATGTTGGTATGTTCAGAGGAACTTATTTAAGTGGATTTCATGAAATTGTGCAGCACCATTTTGTTGATGAGGAAGGAGATGCCAGTGTTAAGCCGTAAGTGATGGTGTCTTCATGCAGTGTAAATCCTGCTTTCTTGTGGTTGTGTTGCTGGGATTTGCAGAGGGAGGTCTTCAGGAGGGGGAGGTTGTGCTGTGGCTGCTGCTGTCAGAAAGGCTTCAGTGGATGAGGGAGAGGGACAGAGCTCAGCCCGTGCCCTATGCTGTGCATGTGGTCTGGACATTGGTTTCTGCGACTCTGCCGTAACGGTCTTAGCATCACTTCCTAACTTAAGTGAAATGTCAGCATTTTTCCATCCTCTGGACAGCTCCAAAACTGCTGCTGAATAAGGTATTATTTCTGATACATGCAATGTAATATAAACTTTCAGAAAAACAAATGAGGAAACTTTTAATAATAGCAGAAGTGCTTCTGACAAAGACCCATCGTGCATGGGTAGAAAGTGCTGGTCAAGGTGTTTTTTTTTTTTTTTTTTTTAAGAGTAAAGTCTCAGCTAACTTAATTTGGCTATTCAAGGTTCTTAGGCCATTTTCTTTGTTACATGAAGCAGATGACAGTGGGGGAGCAGTGTGCTCCACAGGACAGTGCTCTTAGTATTCTCTTGTGCCACCCCCTTGTGAGAACTGAGACTAATACACATCAGCATTTCAGTAGTCCAGCAGCTGTGAATTTGCAGTAGGGTGAAAAACACCAAACTGGTATGGAACCGAGTTCTGCTTATCTCTGATGCTGTTAGGAAATAGGGGGTGAGTTACTCTCGGCCTCGCAAATGCGCTTTGTATTTCAATGGGTATTATTTTGGCTTCTGCCTTCCTACGGATCTGTGAAGTCCATTCAAGGTTTCATCGGGTCTGGTAGCACAACCTAGCTTTAGATCATCAGACTAAATTAATTAGATAGGGAACAGAAACTGGCTAATAGTGTATGTCAACCTCTGAGAGAAACGCATGAGATCCAGAAGTTTGGTGAATTCCTAATGCAGGTAAGACAGCGTCTTGGCAGCAAAGGAATCATTCAAGCTTAGGCTTCAGTAGACTTATTAAAAGTATGAAAAGCTGCAGAGTGAAGGGTAGCAGCATTAGCAAGAGATGGTCTAATTCAAACAAGAATTCAAGTGGCAAGGCCTGTAAATCTCTTTCACAACAGACCAGGCTGGTAGTCTTGTTGTCTTTGATCCCACAGGTACCACCATTCAGTTCTCTAATGCTTCTGCAGCTGTAGCTTTGACTGTTGTGCTCGGTGTGCCTGTAGTTTATGTGTTTGTGAAGTCTATGTGTACATAAAGCTTGTACCCTGTAAATACATGCTGAGATCAGGGTATTCAGTCTGTTGCAATGTAATTATTTTTGTCTTTTTTTTTTTTTTTAAATTCTCTGATATCTCATAAGCTGTTTGCCAGATAAAGGTAGTTGTGTTTTTTTTTTTTGTTGTGGTTGGGTGAACTATGACTACTTCTTGTGTGCCTCTGAAAATGGATTTAGATCCAAGAATCCAATCTTCCTCACACCCAAAAACTGGGGATCATTTTCACCATCATTCTACATGCAGAACACTGTCTTTTCTTCCCCCTACCTCCATTAAAATTAAGTAGTATATATCTTCTTGAGGGCCTGTGAAACAGAAACAAAACAGGACATTACCTTGCTGAGCTGGCAAGGCTGCAATTTTTTGATTAGATATAAACAGGATAATTAGTATATTGCCTAGCCTGAAAGTAATCCCTAGTTAGTGTAGGTGCAGGTGTGCCCAGCATGAATGGCTTGGCTTCACTCGTGTTGTAATAGTGCCTCCTAATTCACAAGCATTGTTTGTTAAGAAATTGATATGCTGGTCACCTTTACCTTATTTGCAAGGTTATCATCTTCTCGAATGTCTGTTGGAAGTTCAGGTTGCAACTTTCTTTTCCATTGGTGTGGTGATTTGCAGTTAGATGTGCAGAGGGATTTGGTGGGTGAGGAGCTCTGCTGGGACAAGGGTGGCCTGCACCTGTCTGTCTGTCTGCACGGCTGATCAAGGAAAGCTGTGGAAGAGGGGGCGGGGACAAACATGCCTTAAATACTAATTCTGTATAGAAACGTGTCCGGTTGGAATTATCAACTATAAGGCCCTTCCTGAATTCGGGAGCCTAAAGCCAGCTTTGTCCATTCTTCACGCCGGTAAGTAACTGTGGTGAGACTGTACTTGTGAGAGATGTGCTAAAATCCCACCGTCCCCATCTCTCACGTAGCACCAGTCTGCTGCTGTGCTATGACAGTGGGTGTTTCTCACGCAAATGCCTTTTCTGACTTTGTAGATCTGCTCTGGCACAGTAAGCAGAATGACTGAGCTTTCTGACGTTTTTGGGAAACTGTAAACGGGAAGGGGTCAGGTAAGCTATTTGAAATGCCATGATAATGAACATGTAGCTTTTCAAACAGACCAGGGAACTCGGAGTGTTTGACATCTTTAAAGTGTGTGCCTGTGCGAGGGAAGAAGTGGATGATTTCCACAGGAGTGGGAGATGAGGTTTCAAACTCCTGTCTTTTAAGTAAGGCAGAGAAGCACTTTTAAACTTGGCTCTCCCACACTGATCACTGGGCTCTTTGGTAAATGCCACACCCTTTCCCACCCCCTCGGTTTCTGTGCTAGTTCCAGTTCACAAGGCAAGCTGGAGTAACACGTACCAGCTTATTGTCTGAACTTAATTTGAATACAAGGGTAGTCAGAAATGATGAAAGCAGCTGAAAGACTTGGTTAACAAGTTGATTAAGGTTGGAAGATGCTATTCCCAGAACATTATGGAAAATATTCAAGTAACAAGCAAATGAAATGGGAAGACTCAGTAGGAATTTGAACTCCTTTTGTTGTTAAAATCTGTAGAAAGCCATAGCTAAATGTTAGGCAGGAT